GTATACGTGTGTGGGTTAACGTTTGGCCTGTATTATGGTGGGGTGACAGTGCTGAGCTAATCATTATCACCTTCCTCCTAGACCTCCTCCTGTTCCTCCTCCTGGTCCCTGACAAAAGGACCAGTAATGCAATGTTTGTTAGGTAAGGTATAATTTGAAGGAACTGATCTATTGGGACATTCATTGTTCTTTTGTGTACTGTCGTAAGTTGTATTCATTGTTTTCGTCTCTCTTTTAATGTTAGCCAGTCGGTATCGACATATTTTTTAGCAATCTATGATATCTGTTATTTCTATATTTTCGATAAAGTTATAATCCAATTCATGATTGCATGTTTAACAAAGGTTTAACAAATTGTAGTTGCTACATCAACATTGACAACTGACGTAAAATAGTCATTGAATGCTTCAGCTTTATCCAAATTTGACAATGCTTGAGTTAATGTGTTGTATCGGGTTTTGTCTCATGCATGATAATATATAAATAAGTCCTTTGGAAATGTAAACAATGAGACTTTTCCTGTAGTTCCTAAATCGATTCACAGTACAAGCGGTACCTTTGCTATGCAATATAGTGTAGCCACTTTCACATGTGCCCATGCGCATGAAATCTGAACACCACATTGTTATTTACTACGTGCTGGCGTCCATAACCATGATTTTATATCTGAGCCTTTTATCCTGCCACATATTGTTGCCAAGATCGATGTCGACGTCAGAACGTTGGAATAGGCCTTTTAGCCCAACATCATTGATTCTTCTGCTATTCATAGGTGCTAACGTAGTCAAGGCTGTTAATTGAGGCTATTGCTTTCAGATCCATCAACTTGAAAGCTCGTACGGGACGTGAAAATAAAACATGACTTCGCCATGTGATGATCACTGTGGTGAGAAAATGATCATACTGTAAACCTGGCGTATTTAAAAAGCATATTTTGCCATTTCACAGATATTTTTGACTAGTATTTTAGTATATACAGAAAGGCACAGGGGAATAAAGTGAGCGGTGTTTGTTGTAATGTTACGCATATAATTTTTGTCAAATTGTCATATAGGCCGTCTGGATTCCTAATAAGTCTAAACTGCTACTGCTACAATGATTACAACTACCACGACTTCTCCTAATAGTTTTCCTGCAGCAACTACGACAACTTTCTACTACAACGACATCATGTGCTACACAAGAAACTAATAATCATCAACCGTAACAGCCACCACTACCACTAATATCACCACCACTACTACCATCACAACCACCACTACCACCACTACCACCACCACCACCACCACCAAAACCACTACCAGTGCTACTACAAAAATAGTTGATTTCTAGAACTATGCCTACTACTGCTACTGTATGGAGAGAGTCGAATTGTAACGTCAGGATGATTTTACGTAATATCATACCCAACGCGATACAAGACAGCTAGCATTCGTTATATTCGGAAGGTTTCTGGTCGTATTTAAATTTAACCCTAAAGAAAACCAACTTGCTGACATGTCGATCTCACGCAAGTATCAGCACACACAAACACAGACGTACAGTTAGGTTTGCTGTCGTGTGAGAACTTCCATATGTTTTTCGTCCTCAGCACAAATAATGCTGGAGCTCGGAACATATACTACGTTTCAAAAGGGGTCTTTTTCATTATTGAAATGTGCATAATCACTGACAGTCATGTCTTTTCAATAAGACTTGAAACGGTTCGTGCCATGTGAATAGCTCCTCAAGTTTATTGTAAGCTATCCAGAACAGGTCACGTCGACATATCTGAACAATGCGAGCATGCAGAAATATGTATATTGACATTGAAATTAAGTGCTTCCTTTTGACAGAATAACTAAATATATTCAACTTGCCAGTTTGAGCGCTTATCTGTATGTGACTGTTGCTACATAATTTAGATTAACTGTGCTGTTAGAGGGGTCTATACACCAAGATTATCAGTAGTGTTCGAGGGGTTTACACAGCATGGATATAGAAGTGTTAGAGGGGTTTATACAGCGTGGATATCAGCAGAGTTAGGGGCGGCTATATAGCATGGATATCAGCAGTGTTAGAGGGGTCTATATAACATGGATATGTGCAGTTTTGGAGGGGTCTATATAACATAGATATCAGCAGTGTTAGGGTGGGTCTATATAGCATGAGTATCAGCAGTTTTGGAGGGGTCTATATAGCATGGATATCAGCAGTTTTGGAGGGGTCCAAATAACATGGATATCAGCAGTGTTAGGGTGGGTCTATATAGCATGGATATCAGCAGTGTTAGAGGGGTCTATATAACATGGATATCAGCAGTGTTAGGGTGGGTCTATATAGCATGGATATCAGCAGTGTTAGAGGGGTCTATATAGCATGGATCTCAGCAGTGTTAGAGGGGTCTATATAACATGGATCTCAGCAGTGTTAGAGGGGTCTATATAGCATTGATATCATCAGTGTTAGAGGGGTCTATATAGCATGGATATCAGCAGTGTTTGAGGGGTCTATATAGCATGGATATCATCAGTGTTAGAGGGGTCTATATAGCATGGATATCAGCAGTGTTAGAGGGGTCTATGTAGCATGGATATCTTCAATGTTAGAGGGGTCTGTATTGAATGGATATCAGCAGTGTTAGATGGGTCAACACATCAAGAGCAGCAGCAGTGTTAGAGGGATTTACACAGCATGAATATCAGCCGTGTTAGGTTGATCAATAAAGCATGGATATCATCAGGGTTAGAGGGGTCTTTATAGCATGGATATCAGCAGTGTTAGAGGGGTCCACATAGCATGGGCAGCAACGGCGTAAGATGGGTCCATACAGCATAGATATCATTCAGTGTTAGGGGGGTCTACATAGCATGGATATCATCAGAGTAAGAGGGGTCTATATAGCATGGATATCAGCAGTGTTAGAGGGGTCTATGTAGCAAGGATATCTTCAGTGTTAGAGGGGTCTGTATTGAATGGATATCAGCAGTGTTAGAGGGGTCTATATAGCATGGATATCGGCAGTGTTAGAGGGATCTATATAGCATGAATATCGGCAGTGTTAGAGGGGTCTATATAGCATGAATATCGGCAGTGTTAGAGGGGTCTATATAGCATGAATATCGGCAGTGTTAGAGGGGTCTATATAGCATGAATATCGGCAGTGTTAGAGGGGTCTATATAGCATGGATATCAGCAGTGTTAGAGGGGTCTATACAGCATGGATATCAGCAGTGTTAGAGGGGCCTATATAACATGGATATCAGCAGTGTTAGGGTGGGTCTATATAGCATGGATATCAGCAGTGTTAGAGGGGTCTATATAGCATGGATCTCAGCAGTGTTAGAGGGGTCTATATAACATGGATCTCAGCAGTGTTAGAGGGGTCTATATAGCATTGATATCATCAGTGTTAGAGGGGTCTATATAGCATGGATATCAGCAGTGTTTGAGGGGTCTATATAGCATGGATATCATCAGTGTTAGAGGGGTCTATATAGCATGGATATCAGCAGTGTTAGAGGGGTCTATGTAGCATGGATATCTTCAATGTTAGAGGGGTCTGTATTGAATGGATATCAGCAGTGTTAGATGGGTCAACACATCAAGAGCAGCAGCAGTGTTAGAGGGATTTACACAGCATGAATATCAGCCGTGTTAGGTTGATCAATAAAGCATGGATATCATCAGGGTTAGAGGGGTCTTTATAGCATGGATATCAGCAGTGTTAGAGGGGTCCACATAGCATGGGCAGCAACGGCGTAAGATGGGTCCATACAGCATAGATATCATTCAGTGTTAGGGGGGTCTACATAGCATGGATATCATCAGAGTAAGAGGGGTCTATATAGCATGGATATCAGCAGTGTTAGAGGGGTCTATGTAGCAAGGATATCTTCAGTGTTAGAGGGGTCTGTATTGAATGGATATCAGCAGTGTTAGAGGGGTCTATATAGCATGGATATCGGCAGTGTTAGAGGGGTCTATATAGCATGAATATCGGCAGTGTTAGAGGGGTCTATATAGCATGAATATCGGCAGTGTTAGAGGGGTCTATATAGCATGAATATCGGCAGTGTTAGAGGGGTCTATATAGCATGAATATCGGCAGTGTTAGAGGGGTCTATATAGCATGGATATCAGCAGTGTTAGAGGGGTCTATACAGCATGGATATCAGCAGTGTTAGAGGGGTCTATACAGCATGGTTATCAGCAGTGTTAGAGGGGTCTATATAGCATAGATATCAGCAGTGTTAGAGGGGTCTATACAGCATGGATATCAGCAGTGTTAGAGAGGTCTATACAGCATGGATATCAGCAGTGTTAGAGAGGTCTATACAGCATGGATATCAGCAGTGTTAGAGGGGTCTATATAGCAAGGATATCAGCAGTGTTAGAGAGGTCTATACAGCATGGATATCAGCAGTGTCAGAGGGGTCTATACAGCATGGATATCAGCTGTGTTAGAGGGGTCTATATAGCATAGATATCAGCAGTGTTAGAGGGGTCTATACAGCATGAATATCAGCAGTGTAAGAGAGGTCTATACAGCATGGATATCAGCAGTGTTGGGGAGGTCTATACAGCATGGATATCAGCAGTGTTAGAGGGGTCTATATAGCAAGGATATCAGCAGTGTTAGAGAGGTCTATACAGCATGGATATCAGCAGTGTTAGAGAGGTCTATACAGCATGGATATCAGCAGTGTTAGAGAGGTCTATACAGCATGGATATCAGCAGTGTTAGAGGGGTCTATACAGCAAGGGCAGCAACGGTGTTAGACGGGTCAATACAGCATGGATATCAGCAGTGTTAGAGAGGTCTATATAGCATGGATATCAGCAGTGTTAGAGGGGTCTATATAGCATGAATATCGGCAGTGTTAGAGGGGTCTATATAGCATGAATATCGGCAGTATTAGAGGGGTCTATATAGCATGGATATCGGCAGTGTTAGAGGGGTCTATATTGCATGAATATCGGCAGTGTTTTATATATTTTACTCCCGTGACAACCATGTTGAATGTGACACGAGTTATCGAACAAAACGTCTGGCTGGGCCACGCCTTCATCACAATAGCTTTGGACGAGTGTGTTTGTTCACGCGTTCAGTCTCTGTGCTGGTTCATTGTTGAGACAAGGTACGAGGTAGGGGTTGGTAAGTCGTGCGTCGCTCACCCAAGGGTATCACTAAGGAGAAATACGGGACACCGCCGTGTACAGGTAAGATGTTTATCCCCCACGTATATGTTTTAACTGTTCATTTTTATGTTTTACTTTTAACATTGTCATCATATTGTAGTGTTCATGAAATGAAGGCAAAGCGTAGGTTACGCAGATTTTCTCCAACGGTGTTTCGCTGTAGACAAACATACTTCCGTGTAACGAAGATACGGGTTCTGAGGTGAGATGTTCTTCACAGTCCCAACGGATGCTGTTTGCTTCATTATGGAATACTGTAAGAGACGATTACAATCTGTGGAAACAAGTTAAATGTGAAAAAAGTACGACAATGCAAGATCGCCAGGACGGGAGATTTGTCCAAAATCTCGAGGGCTCGCGATCTCATTTTTACCACAAGCCGAGAATGCGATATTTTGGACATAATGTAAGTAAGTATCACGTTCTTGCATTCTCGCATCTTTCGCGTATTCAGACGGCTTCCAAAGGCCGACATCCCGAAAACGGGAATATGATCCTTACAATGTTCAGTACACACATGATGGCGTCCCTCGAGATTAAATCCATGTCAGTTACCCGTCCCTCGCCAAACCTTGCATCTTTCCGTAACCACAAAGAACAGTCGGCTGTGTGTGTAGGAAATAGGGCAACGTGTCGACGTCCAGTGACAGGGCTTCCGCCTCAAAACTCTCGCGGATTAACATTTTTGCGCGTTAGCTGTTCGTCTGTAGTTAGGCGTTAGTCTTATATATAAGTAGTTAGTTATTTAGAAGTTTTTATTTTAACTATATTCACAGACGAAACCCTATAGAACACGTTCCTTGTTCATAAAAGTTAAATTACTGAAACAATATCCAAACAATAACACATATTTTGAAGGACATTTTACGTACATCACTATGGGGATTTTGTGAAGTCTGAGTAACAAATACGATTTTATTTGCGTCCTGAGAACCACACGGCTGAGTCCCGAAATTTCTTACGCTCTCAGTAGAACCCAATCCCGAGTACCAAAAACGGAGTTGGCAGCCTCTGATGTGAGAGACAAACCCGAAACATACGGATTTGCAATGCAAACATTACCAGCATATTGTCACTATATTTTTTTACAGTACTATGGCACCGATAGTGACCATATACCTTGCTGCTATTTTTGGCATTACAAATCCCTGTGGTCCGAGTTGTGGCAAGTGTTAGGCGTTAACAATTTGGTGAAGCCCACGAGTACGGGTGTATGACAATCATAATCTGAGCCATACTAGAATCGCGAGCTAAGGGACGCACCTTTGCAGAGCGAATCAGACGACGAGGCCACATGTACCTCCTTCAGTTGAATGACTATTTTATAAAAAATTGAATAGATGATTTTTTGACATATAATTTTTCGAATAAATAAAGTGTAAAATACAACAGTATTCAAAAAATAGGTATCGACACTATATTAGGCAACTTGTAAAGCGCCAGGCTAGGAAGGTTATGTCAAAGTACATGACTTATTACAGATCAGGGTGAATTTCAGTTGCATTCTCAGCTCGGTTGGGAATATTCAACCCTTGCCGCTGAACACTAGAAGGTCTTGCTTACACAACACCTTTCTTGCCCTGCCTGGTACCCATTTACTGCAAGGTGGACAGTAGCAAAGATGGAACCGTCTCTTTTCTGAGCGGACATTACGATGCATCGTAACATGTGTTTCGAATTAATTTCATATTTTTAACTTGTAGCATAACTTCCTGTGTGAAGTTGCGTCCAGAAACCCATGTTTGTGGGTTCGAATTCCGCTTAGCCCAGATAATGTTCCTAGGTTTGTCATCACAATATTCGTGCTCGTGAGTTTCAGTAAACGTCTGAGACCTGTATCACTTCGGACGTTCCTCCAACATCAAGCTGACACGCCGTGATATAACTGGAATACTGTTTAAAGCGGCTTTACATCTAACTCACTCAGTCCGACTTAGGCTACAGGCGAGGAGCTTATGTGCGTTACATTATTGTTCTTAAGAGATCTAACTTGAAGAAGATGGAATTCGAAAATATGCTCTGCAAAAAAAGGAAGGCAAAAGTAGTAAAATCGTTAATATCTGACAGAGTGTTGCCGACATTGATACGAAATTAACATAAAAAAATGTATTGGTCATTTCTGCACGGATTGGGATTGATTTGTGTGGAAAGAATGAGGTACTGCAGAAACTTATCGGACGTTTTCTCTAAGTACAAAGGACGTTTTCTCTAAGGTGGCGGCCGTTTCCTTCTAATTGACCAGCGGCCGTTTTTGCGGGCGGACGTTGTCTCCAGTTCCCAAACTAAACATACACTGTCATTGACACAAACCTGGAAGTAGAGCCCGCACAGACTTCTTCATACTTCAACAAGTCGACAATCCTTCCCAGGAACCGATAGTCTGAAACATGTTTACAATTAAAACTATGAGCCTAAATATTATTTATGTCAAAACGGCATTTTGCAATAATGCATTTCTTGTGGCAAACATCATTTTTTATTCAATGGCCTGGAGCATAATTATTTTTAAACATTTTCTTATCAGGCGACATCAGTCGAAGGGTTAAATGAATTGGAGCCAATAATGTTCCACTTACAGTAGATCATCAATGGAAATGTTTACACACTATCCTAGTCTAATAATATATTTGGAATTAAAAAACACAAAACAAACGATTCTGGAATTTAATTTTCTTTACATTTTGAAGGAAATCTTTCAACTGTGAAGGATTTGGGAGTGGTTTGAGTGGTTTGTGGAGCTGGCGATGTAGGACGTGTTGTATCCAAGTGGTCGCTTGTCCTTGTGTACCTAAAGAAAGTAATCTATATATCATTTTCGTTTTCAATTCATCTTGTCCAACTACTATTTACCTTTCTTCGTGTTTATATACCGTAAATCCCCATTAAAATATCCTTCTCCCGAAAACGTAAACGAGAAACTCCGAGTTCATGTGATGTAATTCGAGTATTGTTTGTTGAAAATAGCAATATTTGTACATTCTACACATTTAATGTCTCAAGCTTTACAACGCAAATAAAATCTTTGACATCAGGATCACTGACGCGTAGCATGAAAACATTAAATTAAGTATGTATATACACAACGAATGATGTAAAATTTATTTTTTAAATCATATTCGGCAAATTACAAAATAGCTGTAGAAGAAAACGTAATCTTATTAAGGTTTCTTAGTCTCTTAAAATTTGGAAACTAATGTGGTATCGGTCTGGACTGGTTTCAAGTTGAAATTTTGTCTTATGGCGTTGTTATCAATGAACACTATCATGAATTAACATAACCGTAATAAAACTTCCTGCTTCTTAATCAAGAGAGCATAATGACAGGACAGAATAAAGAGAACGATTTAGGCAATATAAACATATATTTAACTTACTCGCTGATTGCCGAGGATCTATGTCCTGCCCTATCAGCGATCAGCTGTTCGTCTGTGGCAGACTCGTTTAGCGTGTAGCTGTGATTCTTGAAAAATCCCTCAAATTTAGCCATTTCGAAGAGCCGCCTCACCAGGCCGGACAGGTGCCACTTCCTCAAGCGGTCTTAGCGCTACGACCATTGTAAGCCTATGTGAGTCACGATCATCTTAGCGCTAAGATCGCTTTGTCCAAGACGGCCCAAGTGTGACTACGGAGTAGTACCACGTGTCGGGCTGCGACTATTCCAAGGCACGGACGTCGAGGAAATCAGTGAAAGTTTTGAATGACATTTAGAATAAGTCTTAAGCAACCAATACATGCCGAAAAAGGCGACCATGCTTGTCGTAAGAGGCGACTTACGGGATCGGGTGGTCTTTGTTGAAGCATGTCATCGTATCCGAATTGCGTGGATCGAAGCTCATCGCTGGATTGTCTAGTCCAGACTCGATTATGTACAGACTGACGTCATATAGCTGGAATAAAACACTTGAAATGGCCACAGGTTCATCTACGACTTCGGAAATCTCTCCCGCCACGTTTATCGTGTCGGCCATTTTGACGTCGTGTACTTGATGTAAATGTATTACGACAATCTGTTGTTGTGACAGACTTACTAGGGTAGTTCTTAACAGACCTTTCTCATCTAATGGGGATATTATTGGGATACATTTCTTGAAAACAAACTAAAACAGATGTTCCTGAAATGCAAGTTGAGCAGACATACGCTAATGTGACCTCTCTTTTTGGGAAAATATTTTATTCCGCGATACAACGGCTTGTTGTATGGCTGTCGGTGTAAACAAGAGGGCACACCTATAGATCTAGCGCTACATCCCGCGATGTATAAAATAGTGATATAGAAATTATAAGAATTGACTTTCACTTTATGTACACTCTGACGTTCATACAGTTTGGCCCTCACTCTATGAGGTTCATACTCCAATGAACTTAAATGAAACGCAACATGCTGCATTTGTCATTCGTTTCAGATCTTTAAATGCGTCATTAAAAAAGCTTCATGTCCCTCCTGTGAAACCATACAGAGGGCGTCGTATACTTTCGTCAACCTACAGTGCAGTTCGCCTACAGGGATATCAAAACAGTTTGAGGCATGACTTTATGCACCAGTGCGTCGTCTACATTTTCCCACAGTGCATTTTGCTTTCATTTGAGCAAACAGTTAGCTCAATAATATATATATATATACCCCACCTGTTTACAAAAAGATGATCTATACATTCGAGTAGTTTAGAGTAGTTTTAAACAATAACGGTTAAACAAATATATTATGAATACCGGCGAATATGAATACATACAATTTAATATATCAGTTTTTCTGGTTTTTTTCATGTTATGGTGATTCTAAATCTAAAATATTGCTAGATATTGTTTGAAAAACAGTTGTATGCACTGTCCATTGTGATACTTCTACTTAAGAATATAAAAAGGATGTTCGTTTAGTCAATTGACATGCGTTCATTGTAATCAAGGATTAGTGTGACAGGATTACTAAGTTTGTCATCTAGTATAATGCACTTCCTCGATAAGCATAATTAGAACAGAGTTTCTTATTAGTTATATCAGGACTCCAGTTAACCAAGGCAGCT